GTATACATGCATCAAATTTATTAAATATGCATAAATTAAAAGTTTGATAATCACGAAAATTACCAAACCGGTGTACTTGGATGTGGCTATTTTGGCGTGCTTCAGGCTTCAAGGTTGGCTTGGATAGACTCCTGGGAAATTCAGGAACATGATGGAATGCTTGGAATGGATTGAAAGAGGCTAGAGATAAGGGTTTCAAGTTGCCCTAGTTTTGACAATTTTTGAGATTTTGAGGGTGTGTTCTTGAGGCAAATTTCGTTTCTTTGATGGTCTGAAGGTGTTATGTATTTATAGGAGAGTGATTAGGTCAACAAACATGAATCAAATATCTGTATTTTATGACCAAATATTTTATTGGAATTTTTGCATGAAATCTTTCTTTTTTAGGCCAATCATGTACCAATCATCTGTACACATTTTTTGCAAGTTGTCACCAGCTTTTTGGGTTTATGATTTGATTCAAAAACTAGTAGAAGACCCGTGCGTTTGCACGGGTTCTATCATTTGTAACTTTAAGTAAAATTTATAATTAAAATGATATAATATGTATGTAATAAAATGTAAAATAGTAGCAAGATGTGACTACAGTGTTATATTCAAGGACAATATTAACGTTAACAACGACATGAAAGAATGAGTTTTGTAATTAGCCCCAACAAAAGGGGATACTTTTTGGTATCTAATAGAAAAACCATACCCCAAAAAGAAAAATAAGTTATTTCATATCTTAGATAATTCGATAAATCTTGGTCGTTGTTGATATATAATTGTTATTTCACATGCATATTATATAGGTACATGATCAGTAATCACATGCATATTATATAAGTACAGGATTAGTAATCACATGCACATTATATAAGTACAGAATCAGTAATCACATGCATATTATAGAAGATACAAGTATTTACACCGGATCCCTCAACTCCTCTTATTTTTTGAAACAACGTTTTCTGCTAAATCATAAACATTCATTTTCATCCCTATAAGCTATATTGACCAAGAAAATTAAATTATGTGCTGAAAGCTTTGAGCAAGATGATCCATAAACTATAAACATTTCATTTTACAAAAACTCTTCGCTGAAAATTTATGGAAAGTTTCATGAAACTTCAATTTTACTCCCTCTGTGTCTTAAAACCATGAAAGATAAATTTAAGGGTTTGAAAGAAAATCATGTTGAACAAATATGCAATCCAGATTGTTGTATGCAGTCGTCACATTTGTAGCTGCCCGATTAAAATTGGACAATCTAAATTTTATACTTGTATTTTCAATTTAATAAAATGCTACATATGTGTCTACTGCCTGAATGCAATTTGTATCCACTGATATGATATGAAATGCTAAGTATTTACAAACATCAGTAGAGTTATGCTATCCACTAAAGCCAAATCAGTAATATTCTCAGTGTAAAGTAAAAACTTCAGCAGTTGGTACAATACATGGTAATGATAGTTCTATTGAGAATAAAAGTGTTTCTTTTCTTCAAATATTGAGTTCATTTCTTGATTACAAATAATGTTTTTGGTCACATATCAATGTAAAATACCATCAGAAAACTATTTTGAAATCTTCTTCTTCATATCAACTTCTCTAAATAATCTTTCAACAAGGTCGGACATGGTCAATTTCAAACCACGGGTCAACCTAGTAAGAGTCAAAGATAATGTGTTCACATCAACCATGGCTCTGTGAGCTATCCACTTTAATTTCATGGAACTTTCTAAGGGCATCAAGGGATACTGAAGGAAGTTTTGTTCCAGTATACAGAAAATTTTACGGCTTTCATACAAAAACAGCAAGGACTTGTTTGTTAGTGTGTGTGTGTGTGAATGTTTGATAAGCCTTTGAAACAAACAGAAATGAACCTCCGGGATTTAGTTGATGTGATATAGAAAGACTGTCCATAAACAACCAATTTGGAGGAATCAGTGTAGAACATTGACGTAACTCATTAATGATGAACGGTACGCCAAAAGTACGAGCATTATGAGCAACCCATAACACGTATCCCCCATGTTTTTGATGGCTTTGAACATAGTGTAATAATATGGGAACCAAATCTTCCATCCTACAAAAAAATCTTAAGAATTAAAAAATAATAATTGTTCTCCTATGAAAAACTAATTAAATAGTTCAAGTAGACTCAATCATCAATGTCCACAAACAATTCAGTTCATAGTCATATGGGAGAATAAGGATAAGTACTGGAAACTTGGTTACCTTCTTAGATACACACTCACCGTGGAACCATGCACATTGACTAAAATGAACAATGGAAGAAGAAAATTTCAATAATCACATATGCATAAGTTTTGAAACTGTCGAATAACTGATTCTAAACTTTAATGCACCGATAAATGCACCGGTAATTAAATTGACTGCCAAACAAACTTAAATTGACCATCGAACAAACTCCTACGCCATTTCGATTGTCATTAATAATTGTTTTGGTTTGAAAATGGGCTGTCAATTGTGCAGATATATATATAGTGCAGAATCGCGGTGTAATTCAATCAGTGGTGTGTGACATTTTATGGTGGCAGTTGTTGAAACCACAATCGAGATGGAATTACATCATCTCGCATCTCACATTAGAGGATGGAATATCAATATAATAAGGTAAAATAAAAACTTGAACATATTTCTCATGTCAACATAACAACAACGCTATAGCAAAAAACCATAGAAAACAGAAGAGAGAGAATCAAGAAATCAGCGAAGGCATTTCATCGAACACTTTGTAAGCAAGATTGAAAGCGAGATTTTATTTTCCTTGTCGCTTCAACATATGAGTAATCCTCCAATTCATCTTCATAATTGCTTCTTGTGTATTTAATTCAAACCAAAACCAGCTCCCAATCATAAGCTATAGCGAAACCGTAATTATGTCGAAACCGCAAAAACGAAGTTTACCGTGTTTAAACCGTAAAACCAATGTTGTAACTTAGATATGAACCAAATTGAAATGATGTAATGTACTGTAACACAAAACAACGTCAAAACAAAACAACACCTGATTCGAAACTAAAAGCAAACACAAAAAACACAAACTAATCCATACAAACACACAAAACAGACTTTGCAACATGACACAAAAAAACACAACAGATCCATACAAACACACAAAACATTGTATCAACTATAAGGAAAGTAAAAGATATACATACTACACATAAATATATGCCTTCACTATAACTGATGGAAGAAAATTAGATGCATAGCAACACAGGGATCCACATGAAGCTTTTTCATATCCAAGACCTGAATATTCTGCATTTAAAAACCATTGAATATTAGAGGCATAAATAGAAAAGAAACATGTTAATATAAAAGATGTTTGATCACTTACTCATCTAGACGCTGCTTCAAATAGAAGAGGAGAAAAACTCAGTTAAGTTTGAAACCAAGTGTGAAGATACAAAATTAGAGCACACTAAAAAGGTAAATATAGCAGCCTCTTGTCAATCTTCAAAAGGAAGAAAATTACATACTAATATAAACTCAGAGAGGGTAATTAGCTTTAATAACCAAACATGAACATGTACGTATTAGCAGTGATCTTTATGTAGAGCCTTCAATATTTCATAAAGTGTTTCAGCAGGTTTACTATGCAACAATAGCTGCATCTCTGTATGATCAACATGATCACTCTTCAAAGCTCTTTGTCTTGTTTTGAAAATATATCTTGACTATGAGAAATCACACTGCAGATTGGGAACCATTTTTTAGTGTTCCACCAGTACGTTAGCCATCGAGTGAATGAGCAACCAAAATAGCCCATTTTTCACGTAATTTATATTGGTTATAGGCTTCAGTAGCTAGGTTTGTGGGAAGATCACCCCACCAAAATAATGACCGACGTTAAGAGCATTGCACCTGCTAGCCTGTAATTTTAAAAAACATTTAATGTCAATAGAACAAAACTATGAATAAGCTAAATAAGATTGTGTTTGAACAAACAATTTAATCAAGCAACCTGTGAGGTATGTGCTTAAGACAGTTCCGAACAACTTGTCAGCCCATGGAAACAACGACCACGTAAAATTTAGACCCCAATCCCATCTGATCAGTTCCAAACAATTTTGTTTAACATTGTTGTTTGATATGTAAGTAGATGAATAAGCACAATTGAGCCAATTAATTGCAAGTAGATAAAATTTTATTTAGTATTATTTTTCATGTTGGCTTTGGCTATGACAAAATTAATGAAACATGATTTTCCATATTCCAATGTCTTTTATTGCTACCAATTACATATTCTATTCTATATGAAATAGATTTACCCGATTTACCATATTCCAATCACTCTCAATTAAATTGTTGCAGAAATCTAAAAGGTATGGAACTTGGATAACCATAATTTAAAACCTACTATGTGCTACTGCATTTCCTTCATAACCATAAACACCACCTGCAACATCAATGCCAAGTATTTCAAAACATATAAAAAATCCCAGGAGTAGTAAGTCATAATGATAAGGCAAAGGTTTTCTTAGATTGAATTCTTTTTGCTGCACGAGTTATGATGCAACGCTGTGATCAAAGTAGTAAAGCACGTCGATCATAGTTGATGGTATAAATGCTCCAATAATGTACAATAGAGGCACAATCAACATTTCCTGCAAAATAAAACAAACATATAGCAAAAAAGATCATTATCATTAGTACTGAGTTCGACTTCTACTAATAAAATATGCAGATTTAGCATGAAGAGAAACTGTTAAAATTTGCAGATTTAATATGCAGATTTAACATAATAAGCAAAACCGTTAATATGCAGATTTAACATAATAAGCAAAACTGTTAATATGAAGATTTAACATATTAAGTAAAACTGTTCGACAAGACATAATAAGCATTACTGTATAAATGTCTTACGGTTCAACCGATTTTATTGATGAAGGTTGAGTGTTTAATTAAGGAATTTTAACAGACATGATGTGGACATCAACAATTTTGCCATAATTATGTTGTTGTCTTGCTCTGATATGTTGCTAATTCTCTGGTTTTAAGTCGATGTTGCTGTCTTGCTCTGCTGAAATATAAAATGAATTGATTCAAATATTCAGCACAGAAAAGAATTTTAAATAAAGAAATTCATGAAAATCAACTTACCTTCTATTGTATCGGTGATGATTTCTATTGATATCCACCCAGGCTTCGGACGCTTTATATGAATGTAAGGAAAGGGTTAGTATAATATAAACATAACTTTAAATACAATTGAGAGACACCACTTCACTCCCAAAATAATTTGAAGTACCTTTTGCCTCTTGAAGATCACAAAATGCAGAAATATCGAAATGAAGGTGTTATGTATTTATAGGAGAGTGATTAGGTCAACAAACATGAATCAAATATCTGTATTTTATGACCAAATATTCGATTGGAATTTTTGCATGAAATCTTTCTTTTTTAGGCCAATCATGTACCAATTATCTCTAAACGTTTTTTGCAAGTTGTCACCAGTTTTTTGGGTTTATGATTTGATTCAAAAATAGATCCTCATACCTTATATCATTTGTTTGGTATTTTATTTGATTTATTTTTCTTTTAATTGAATAAAATCAAAATAAAAAGAAATAAAAACCACAAAAATAAATGAATGGATTAAGAGATCTATTATGAGGCCAGGAACACGTTTGGACCTTAAAAGATAGGCCCATTAGCCCAAAAATCCAATTTTGCTCAATTTGAACTCCATGCCTTTTCTCAAAATTTCTCAAATTGCACCAATCACAACTCTCTCAATCTTTGGAAAGCTCAAGATACCCCCTACAACCTTCATGTTGGTCATTTTTTCATTTGAAGTCTTTAACTTGATGTAAATTGCTTTGACAAAAGATGTCTTTTTGTTGACTTTTAAAATGACATGTAATGTTTTGGCTCATATATCTCAAATGAAACATATCTGTCCTTGAGCTTAGAGAGACAAAGTTGTACATAATTAGATTTACTTCAAGATAGGCTTTGGTTGAGAAATTTTTGATGAAGTATGTGAAAGTTATGCCTGGTCAATGTTTAGTTGACTTCTCTTAAAGAAAATGCTAATTTAGTAACTTTTGACTTTTGATGAATCTTGAGTTTTCTTAATGAATCATGATAAACCCTTGATCAAATGATGAATGTGACTTCAAAATATTAATGTTGGACAAAAATCTTAAAGTTTGACTGTAAGTTGGTCAAAGTTGACTTTTTGTCCAATATAGTTGATTTTCAATCATCTGAGCAATTGAGTGAGCAAACTTGTACTGCAATGCCTAAAACTTGGCATGAGAATACTTTAAGAAATGAGAAACCATGAAATTCACTTGAGGTATTATAAGTCCAATTTCCTTTGAGAAAAGAAAAACCCTAATTGTAGGTTGATTTCTTAGGAGGAGGGTTTGTTTGGTCAACCCTTGATAAGTCTTGAGCAGTTGAGACCTTAATGAGCATGAGGATGCATCCTGAATTGATTTTTCTTAAAAACGGGAGAGAAAATTTTGGGATATAACACATTAGAACTTGTGTAGCGCAGAAGCTGAATTATCTCTCTTCTAATGTCTTGGCCACGCCACCCATCAGAAGAAGAACCTGTTTATTAAATACTCAAAAATAACAAACATTAAAGTATCAAAATTGTTCATACAAACATACTCATTTTTTATCATCAAAACTCAAAGATAATATAACCAATTCTTGTTCTTACAATCTCCTCCTTTTTGATGATGACAAAACTATGTATTTTGATGACACAATTTTGTTCATATAATCAGAAAAAGTAAAAATAAAAAGGTAAGGAATACTTATCCTTTTTATGAAACTCCCCCTGAGTTAATGATTTGATGAAGATCAAATATCCTAACTCTGAACCATTTGAGTAAAACTCCATCTGGTCCCAATAGATCATATATTGAGATCTTGAGAGTCTTGACTCTAGATGTCTGTAGAACCAATTGAGATATTGAATTCATCAGAGCTTCTTCTTATTGAATCTTTTATCCAGATTTTTCATATAGTATTTAACTTCTGATTCGATTTTTCATATAGTCTTCCACTTTTGATTCGCTCAGTTTTTCTAGAAAGCATCTGCTTCTGCTTTTGATTCTTATATTCTAAATATTACATTCTCATACATTTTACATCTTCTAAATATTGTGATACCAGGAACAAGATAACTTTAACTTTTAGAAAGTTCTTCAACTTCTGAACAGTGTTGGTTCTATCTGATTCTTGAACATATGTAATACTTGTACACTTTACTCAGAGTGCTTTCATTTTGAACTGTCTTTAGAATGCCTAGTGAACTTGTTTAGATTTCCTTGGTTAAAATACAGAAGCACATATTAGTGTTAAATGCATTTTTTAAGATTCATCAAAATCATAAATATTTCTCCCCCTTTTTGACATCATTAAAAAAGTTAGAACATCTAAACATGATATTTCATAGCAGTGTTTTATGATTAAGCAATATAAGTCAAAGAGATTTTAAATACATATTTCATTCAAGGAATTTTAGAGTACATCAAGAGAAAACAGAAAAATAGAAGAAAACTTAGACTAATACAAGAAATAGCTAAAATAAATATTTTCTAAAATCATTACAGACAATATTTCAATCATCAAGGTCTTGAACTATATCATCTCTAGCACACCTTTCTTCAACCAGTGCATTATCTGGTCCATTATTCTTTATCAACTCCCAAATCTTGTCTTGAATCATTATCTCAGATAGTATCCTTCCATAAGGAATATATGATTGAGTCTGTGTTCTTGATATTTCAATGGCGTGTTTCAGACGAATTAAGATGGTTTTTGGAAGGTTGATCTTGAAGTGATGGATCAAGAGGAAGACAAAAATGATGTCATCATGAGACAAAGTTCTTCTTGCTGTGGCTTGAGGATGGAGGTTGGAAAGGGAGAACCTAAACCAAGTCTTGGCTGAAGGAAGAAGGGTTCCAGGATTAGTTGGTTCATATGATACTGAACTATCATGAAGAACCCTAAACCTTTCAACAATACTTAGGTATGATTGATATTCATCAATGGTGACTCCAGATGAGACACACCCAGTGACTCTTACTATGGAAGAGATGGTGACATCAATGGGAAGTCTGAAGATTTCAGACAAAATGGTGTTGCCATCATCACTAATTTTGGCATACTTCCAAAATTCCTTCACAAGGACAATGAAGATGGGATCTCTAAGCAGAGTAAAGTAGCCTATCCAAGATTGGAGTTGCATACTTCTTTTTAGGTCCAATCCATGGTGTTTAAGTCTGGGAAGATTGGGTCGTTTTTCTTGAATGATTTCAAGAGTTTCCTCATTTCCATAAAAAGTAATAGCAGACATTGTTAAATCAGGCGAAGGAAGATTTAAAGGGTTTTTATTTGAACTGAGGATGATGAATGGTGAAAAGGAGACATCAACTATTTATAGATACTGATAGTGAACCTATGTATGGCATCTATTAGATAGGTTATGATTATCTTAGTGAATACTAGGAAACCTAGATATATTGGGAAGGACAAAGAGTAATTAATCTTATTTATAAAGAGAATATTAAGTATTCATGAAAATAAGTTTCACAATTATCCTTTAATTTGTGGGGGAAGTAACTGACACACGCCAAAGATTTTAGACCTATTCCTCAGATACACATAAGAGAATATATTGTATTGTTACTTGTCATTTCAAGATAGTGCATAATTAACAAACAACAATTTATCATAAAACAAAGACTTCATTAATTAAGACAATTCAACAGATACAAGTTCAAAAATGAAGAACTAATCAGATGAAATGATCAAGCAATAAAAACAACCACACTTTTGAAGAGACAAGTCATATTTTCCTAGCTAATGAAAATCTCGCACTCAGATTTCAACAAGAAATCTTCAGGACATTTTTCTGGACCAACTTATGCTAACATTTCCTTGAACATATCCACTATTGCCTCTTGGAAAATAATTTCACACAAAAAAATTTCATAATGAATGTAAGACTTAATGTGATTCCTAGACTCAAAAATAGACTTCCAAAGACAGATGAAGATATAATGTGGCAGGTTTACTTGAGTATCATTCATCAGAAGATAGACGAATGCTTGGTCATCATACCTCAGAAGGTCTTGATTATGCCCTTTGGGAAGAAAGTTGGACAACACAAGCTTGAACCAAACTCTGGGAATAGGTAGGAGATTTTCAGGGTTGATAGGTTCATATCCTGAAGAGAATAAAATTTATCAGACATAACAAACTTATACTTGACATAGTCATCCGTGACACCTATATTTTCATATCCAGTGGCAAGGATGATTGGGAAGAGATTAATGGAGATGGGAATTTCAAAGATATATGAGTGAATATAACTATTCTCAAAAATCAAGATACACATGTTTTCAGAATTCTTTGACAAGATTCACATAAAGGGGTTTCTTAAGCATGGTGAAGTATCTTGTCTATTGTTGAGAGTAGGACACACCTGAGATGCTGGAATACATGTTACCTTCAAGAGAAGAAAGTTTAATTTATTTTTCGATGATGATCTCAAAAAGATCTTCATTTCCAAGAAATGTTGGCTGAAGCATTATAGACAAATGAGATGAAGGATTCTAGATAGAGATAGGTTTATGAGAGAAAGAGATAAGTGTGATATATCACTATTGATTTAAATACACTCAAGTGGGTGAAACAGATTGTACCATACTGTAAGAATGACATAGATCACTTACATAACAAAAGACAAGAATTTTAAAGAAAAGGAATGGAGTGAACCAGTCTTCATAAAGAACAGAGTACCATACAAGTTCCATATAAGACTTTGAGTGAATCATCATTTAGAAGAGGCAAGCCGAAAAATGACATACATAAAAATATTGAACATGGTTGCTTAAATGAGAAACTATCATCACACACATTATGCATAAAATTTTCGCTCATTCTCAAGAAAATTTACGTATTCACATTATCCAGAGAATTGATTGAAATTTTTTTTCTTGGGAAGAGAGAATGTTCCAGGTCATAAAATTTTCACTAACCAGAAAATTCACAACTTGGAGTTGCACTAATATTTGGAATGCTTCTGTTTAAAACATCTTCTAACTTGTAGAAGTATTTTTATTAGGAGTTCTAATAAATTATAGATAAAGGAAAACATACTGTTGTACCCCAAAATTTTCCCTCCCATTTCCTCAACATTTTCTCATCACAAAACCCTTGGAGCTCAAGATCCAATTAGGGTTTCCTCTGCTCAAGACTTCTCCTAGCACTGTTGACCCAAATTAGGGTTTGTGTTTGCACAAAGATATTTTGACCTAAAATTCCTAAGATGACTTTTAGGCTTCATGTTGGACTCCCAAGTTTATCCATACCAAGTTTCAAGCCTTGATTCCAAATTTTGCCCAGTCAATTGGACAGTTGACCTAGAAATCAGCTGTATTGGGGAAAAAGTCAACTGTGGTCAATTGACAGTCAAATCTCATGAAAATTGACCCACATCAACATTATGAACTCACATGGACCATTTGATCAAGTTTGGATCACAATTCCACAAGAAATTTGATCAGATCACCAAAAGGGCAAAATGGTCATTTTTAGGGTTTTGACTGCACAAAGGCAATTTTTGACTGTTTGACCTAGCCAATGGCAAACCAAGCTCACATATGGACTCAAGGACCCCATGGAATTGTCTTGGCATGCTCAACAATTTCAAAAGATCCCAAATGCACAAGATTGACAGTTGAATTTCCCAGTCAATTGATCAATTTTGACTGTATACTGAAAAGTCAAACTTTGACTTTTTGGTCAAAATCAAGTGTCAAGATTCATTTTTCATCAAAACATTCCAAATCATGAAAATTGTTCATCAAGAAATCAAGAATTGCAAATTAGGGTTTGAAATGAGGATTTTTCATAACTTAGAATTTTTCTAAGTTATGAAAAACCCTAAATTTTTCCTAACTTTGTCCCACTTTCTCACCAAGATTCATTTGGATTCAAGGAAAAGTCAAAACATGAAAGTTGTAGCCTATTGCAAAATCTACAACTTTGATTCACAAAGTTTTCCCAAAAGAAGCTTGTATCTCAAGTTACAATTTTTGGAACAAGGGTACCAAACCATTCTTAACTTAGAGAAAATTTGACCTATTTTAGGCAGGATTTTTGCCTAACTTCAAGATCACTTTACTCATACTTCCACTTGGAATTTCAATTTGCATTTCAAATATGGATTGTAGTACACATTCCAAGCTTTCCAAAATGTCCAAGAACTCATCAAACAACCTCATGGTTAGAGAGAATCGAATTTGGCAATATGGGAAAAACTCACTTTTGATTTGGCCAAGTTACATGTTCATACATTTGTGCCATTTTGAATTCAGCATGCTTTCCTTGATTACAGGTCTTTTATCTCAATTACACTCCTTAATTTAATGCCAATCCTTTGTGCCAAGGTGTTGTTCTATGAGTTTGGACATTGTATGCAAGTTTAATCCATTTTTAGATAAAGCATTATATCCATTTTGGAAAAGTGAACTTTATGTCAAAATGCAAATCCAAGCAAGTACAGATCATATCCTCTTGGAACAAGTTATTAGACTAATTACACTGATCAAGACTAAGTGGTTCAGCATAGAATGGGGGCCTCTACCTGTCTAGAACACCAACTTGCCATCTCTTGCTTAAAGTGTAAGAAACTTGCCATAACACACAACAACTCTCATATCAGCTAACACATGCTTAGGAAAACTTGTCAAACATATTCTAAACATCCATTCTGAGCTAGAACACGACCCTAATATCTCCATTGCCTCCCCATTCCCAGAATCACCCTAAAACTGCCCAAACAGAGCATCTGCTGCAGTTTGAGTTCCATAGCTCAAACCTTCCATGCATTCTTGCTAAAAACACATCAAACACATCCCACAATATCCCTTGAAGCTATTCCAAACCTCAAACACGACCTGTAACACTCCCAGGCATCATCACCATTTTCATTTTCTTGTTTTGCAGCTGAAGTTCCATAGCACGATTCAAAAGGTTTCAAGACAAAGTAAAGCTTGGAATAGCATCCCTGGACATCAAGGAAGTTGTACCAATCATCACCTTGCATTGAAGACACCTCCATCACCAGATACAACTTCAACTGAACAGGTATATTCATGAAGTTCTATCTCTCAATATAGGCATTGTTAGCTTTAGGTTTGTGAAGAAAACATGTCACATTCATAGCCCTAAACATGCCCATGTGATTAGATTTCATTTATATTATGTATGCTTAGAGAATTTTAAGTCTGAACATTGATAAAAAACTAGGTCAGGAATTGGGGGAGAAGAAATTCTCTCTCATTTCTGAGAGTTAGATTGACTTCTTTATATGTCTAGAATCGTGGCTTCAAGCTCTACAGGTTTCATGTTGGAAGATTTGGCAAAAGATCAAAGAATCAGGAGTTAGATATTTGAGAAGGAAGGCGCGCGTTTTTTTTGAAAATGTTGTCTGAAGGTTGAAGACAACAACCTTTGGGCTGGGCCTGATTGGTCATTTCTGTTTACACCCCACTTTTGCTTTTGAACCCCCTTGGCCCATTGAGCTTATTTTTATGATTTTTTGACTTTTTCTTTTTTGTTCTGACTTATTTATTTTTTCTCATAATATTAAAAATATAAAAATAATTTTTTAAACCATTTTTGAATTTATTAGGCATTTATTTGTTTAGATGGTTATTTGTACATAAATAAATAAATAGATACACTTTTATTCAAAAATACTAAAAATAATGCAAACACATTTTATTTTCCATTTTTATTTTATTTTATCTTCTGAAAATATTTTATATAAAATATACTTTTTTTATAAATATTAAATATTATTATTTTGTATATAATATATATTTAGTAAATAATACAAACACATACTTATTTATTAGCATATTTAGAAAAAAAATACAAAATATACACATTTTTATTTTTATTAATATTTAACATTAAAAAAATACCTTTTTACAAATATACTTCATTTTTATTTTATTTTTGTATATAATTGATAAATTTTGTACATATTAAATAATTAATACTTTTACTTAATAAAATTAGGGTTTTGCCCTAAACATAAAAAATCCAAAAAAATAATAATTTTTATTTTGTTTATTTGACATATAAAAATACCTTTTTTCTTCATACATATAAAAAACATTTTTGCATCTTGCATAATTATTCCATTTTCATTTAGTTGTTGTATACTAAATATCTTGTAAATAATTCAATTTTGATGTAATAGTCTAGGTTTAAATTCCTTGTCAAAAATCCCCATTTGAACATTTGTACCCCCCTTCCCATATATTGTGTTGTAATAGT